GCGGCAACACTGCGTATAACGGTTTCATCGATTCGATCCAAAACCAGTTTTGGACTGATAGCCGCCTGCCTTCCAGATATTTCACCGTTTTCCCCCATTATGTGAATCTCGAGTAGATTTATAACTTAACCCAACCGAAAGGAGTTTACTGGTATGTTTTTACGTATGATAGTTCTATACTTGACAAAAGTTTTAAACTTTTAAAATATTTGATATATTTATTGTGCTTTTATTCTTATTTTTCATGTTCTATTACTTACAGATTTCAATGTTAACTAGTGATATTACGAATTAGTATGGCGGTACTTGTAAATTTTTGTCCCAGATAGTGACTCTGCCCTGGAAACCAGCATCTCAACTAAACATGTATCTCTCGAAACAAATTAACTCGGCCGACTAGCCTACATTAATAATGTTTTGTTCTTCATTATATGGTTTTGAGCCATAACTTTTTAAAATAAATCTTCAATATCGCAATTGCATTCTGAATCGCTAGCCATGATAAAGGGCTAAAATTAAAAACTAAATTATAAAAAGTTATTACTTGAAATAAAATGTGTCGTAGATATCCATACCTAGTACGAAAAATATTTTTCAATTTTATGAATGTACTTTTGAAGAAAATTTTAATTATATATCGCTTTGTAATGAAACGTATATAAAAATAATATAAAATTTCTTTACTTTTAAAATCTCGAAACAATTCATTTAGTCAAATAGGTTTCTACGAGTGGCTAATACATAGAATCAGAGACGATCCTAATACGTGTGCAGTGTGCATGCATTCATTCGGGCTGCCAAATCCAGAGGGTGCAGATACTGATCAATGTGAAATGCTTGTTTTGTCGCATCAAAAGTATATTTCAAAAAACGCGACAGGGTTGTTGTAAATATTAAACGTTTCTCACCATAGCTGTAAAAATCTACATATGTTAAAAGAAAAAGTTCATTGTCTAAACTAAATATAAATATACTTTAACAAAAAATTTGTTCGACATTTTCACCATAAAATTTATGAAGACATAAAATTGTTTTGTGGATGCATAAAAATGCGAAATTTGTTTTAGTTGGCCGTGCCTACAATTTTCAAATGAAATTAGTGTGTGGAATAAGAATGGCTTTAAGGATTTAAATAATTTGAGTAAAGCTGGCAAAAGATAGGAAAATCATAAATGTCCCATAGATTCTATGGCAGAATTGAAGCAATTTTGAAATCAAAGCAGAATAGAATTTAACATTAGTGTATAATATAAAATAAATATTGAAAATTATAACAAGATACTTACGGCTAATGTATTTTTTAAATTTATGCTTAGAAATTAAAAATTTTCAAATTTTAATTATGTTTCGCCACTTTTTTTAATTCACAGTTAAGTTACGCATTTGAGAAGAAAGTGGAGTATCAAATGAAAAAGTAATAAATTACATTTTTGATTGTAATTATTAAACGGATAATTACAATCAAATTGAAACTTTTTTTCGGGTAATCAAAGGAAAATTTTCTGTTGTGTTCGCATTTCTGCTGTTGACTTCCACAATGAGTTGATAGATTTTAAGTTTTTTTATAGAATTTCAGTTGTGGAGATATAATTACTAAATTGTAAAATGAAAAATATGGTAAAATGTTTGTATACATTTTCCAGCGACAAGATTTTTTCTGTCTTCAAAATATCGTTTCAGTTTGTGTTGAATTTTTATTCGTAAAACAAAGTAAATAAAAGATGATAAAATTCTTGTCAACAGAATTAGGTCTTTATTTTGTTAACCCCTAAAATGGAGCTATTTATAGAGGAATAAACAAATTTGTTTTGTTCATCAAAACTGTCATTCAGCGGATGTGAAGAAAACAATTTTATTTTTAATATAAAAGACGGTCTAAACTTGTATTATGATTTATCAAAAATACTTTTAAAAATTATAAAATATCTCGTGACAAAGATAAAACAATTAAATTTAATCGTGTTGGCCAAATAAATTGTATAAACATACATTATGAAGATATGCACGAGAACGAAAAATACAGTCGAACATTAATTTTCATACTTAATTCGTTAAAAAACTCGTTCATAAACTGAAATATATTTTCTCACTAGCAGGTAATCTTGGCGTTGCCCGTGCAAAAAATAGAGATGTTGCGCCCGAAGTTCAAACGTTAAACTTGTACAGCAAGCAGAAGTACAAGTTTCACTCATGGGATATTGTTGTAAAATGTCAGAAACGATTAACAACGACGAATGTTACCAGCGAAGAATAATAAAGAAATGAAACTATTTTAAAGTATTTACATGATGTGTAATAACATTAAATAATTACTTTTAATTAGCATCGTGTTTGGGAGCATCTGTCAGTGCTGTATCTTCTTTATTAACTTATTTTTTATAGCCTAGGTGTAATTCATTAAATTTTTAAATAATTATTCGAGAGATTCTTGTGAATTTTGTGTTGAGAAAGAAATTGTGGATGCCTGGCATATTTTGGCTAAATGTGAGCGTCTTAAAATGCTACGTGAAGAAGTTTTTGAGTGTGAAGTACTTACCAGGTCTTGATTTCTTAAAATTTTATCAGTACGATGTTATCAATTTAAAGTGTTTTGTTTTCTAAAAAAATCTGTTCATCTTTTGTTTTAGGCGGCGTGATTCCTCTACTATAAATTTAGCCATGTTGCTGGTGTTGTTTGGGAGCATCTGTCAGTGCTGTATTTGTTTTTATTTATTGTTTTTTTGGATTTTATGGACAGATGCTTCCAAACTTTAACTTTAACCAACTATTACATTTGATTTTCAATTCTTTAANTGAAAATTAATTGAAAAAGTCAACCTCAGCATAAATATATAAATAAAGAAAACTTTAGACTTGTGGCATAAGAAGAGTTTTTGCAAATTTCACAGTAAGACTCAACATGTAAATAAAGATCACATTACGCATAAGATCACATTAATTAAAAAAATTGTACATAAAGCAATGATGCAATGATAATAAATAGGAAAATTAAACATCGGCACAGAAAAGGACTTCGAGCTGTACTTTGTCTCTTAAGATCGTTGCACATACATTAATTCGGTAGAACCTTAGAGCATACCTCAACAGTATCAGTATTAAGTTTCGAGAAATAGTTTATGAATTAGTGAGAAGAGATGAAATCAGATGAGAAGTGGGGTGTCCAGGTTTCATGGTAGTTAAGCATGTCTTTTTATATCGAGTTTATAAAAAATTATTAAAATTAATTTAATTTATTTGGTTATGAGAACGCGACACGTGAGCTATCTGCCAGGGAGGATGCATCCCAGAAAGACTTTTATGTAAATCTGTTCCAAATATAAGTGTTATTAACGCAAAGAAAACCCAGAAAAATTCACGTGGCCATTTTGTTGGCCTTGCACGAACCTACAACTGACTATTGGCGATTAGTGGTTTTATCCGCTAGGTTACTTGAGAGTATTATAAAATTCCATTGCTGTTTGTCTGTCTCTGTCTTTCCTTAATCTCCAGAACAAAGTTACATAAACGTCAAGACCAGACATGAAAATCATAACAGATTGAGGATCAAATTAACTATATGTGAACTTCTGATTTGTACCGCAAGTCATATTATTTCAATTTAAAAACTTTCTGTCAGAGTTAGATACATAACCAGCACGAATCTATTGCTAAGAGAGAAAGTATGACGTACAGTGGCAAAACACTACTACACTTTATGCAGGCAAGTGCTATGTGGTACCTATCGCAGTAATGCCTTAAATACCACGTGCCAAACTATACAAGAATTGAAACTCTTCGTGATTATGAACGTTTTGTAAGTTAAATTGTCTAATAAACGGTTCATGTTGTTTGTATACGAGGCATAGATCTTTGAATCAACTGCTCCCACATGACGTTGCTGCTATCGCTTCGCAGTCCAGATGGCAATAAAGGCAATAACGATATTGCAATGAGCGTTATTTTTCGTTTTTGAATCTCTCCCCTTTATGCCTCCTTACAAATTAGTCGAACGGATGAACAAACAAACAAACATATACATGAACAAATAAGTATCAATAAATAATTGACTAAATCTTTTCCGACCCAACAAAATAAAACAAAGCTTTATTTTTTACTTTGTTTCTTGCATTTCATGCATAAAAATGCCAACATATGAAATATCGTATAATATTACCGATATCTATATGAATTTTATATATTTATTACAAGCAAAATGTTTATATATGGCGAACAGAAACCGAAATCGAGACTAATATTTTATATAAATGTGCTATAGACTCAAAACAAGTACTTTATACAAACTCTCCCAAATATCATGTTTATATCGATTTGATTTTAATTCTAAATTAATTAGTTATAATTTTATTTTTAGTTTCAGTTTCGGCGCAAAAACCAGTGTTTGAATTATTACAGTGTTTTTATATTTTATTTTATTTAAGCACGTTTAAACACGAGTTCGTGGATATCCTTTACATTATGGAATGTCAATTAACATGGTTTTCGTTAAATCATAACATTTCTAAAATTATTTATAATGCTAGTGTTAATTTAAAAAATATTTCAGATTTACGTTAGAATTTTCAGCGGGTGAACAAAATTGTGCCACAAACACCCACGCGCGCACATGTTTGTGTGGCATAATTTTCTTCACAAATCAATTCACAAATATTTTTGAGGTCGGTTGTACAATAGTTATTCGATTTTCTTTTATTGTCGTTACTATTTATTACTAGATTTAACAATGTAATTTCTATTTTTAATTTTCTCTTTATTCGTGTTTCTTGTGCTATACTAATTTAACATTCAAGATAAATTAGAAATAGTCTTTTATTTAGTTACTTTACTTTCAAATGAATTTTGATGTTGATTAGCGAAATGGTTTAAGATACGTAAACAGAATTAAAAATTAACAAAACACAATTACTGTATTTTTATTTTGAATTTCATACCATGAAGATATTTAATTACTAAAATACAAAAGCGAAAATAGATTTTTACATAATAAATTACTATTCAGCAGTAATTTTAAAGCAATACATCAATATTTAACGCAATAACACGAATTACAATTCAAAATTAATTATGATAATAAAAAGCCAAAATTTAAAAAATATATGTAATTTCGGTCAGAAGCTCTTTATTAATTAAAGTATGGCATTGCTTCTAATCACCAACTAAGATCATTTTCTTCAACCTTTGGGCTGTTTTCACTGTAAAACTGAGAGTACCATTTTCTATATTTGGCAATTGTTCTGTCTTCTGATACATAAACTGGATTCTTCAAATACATTTTGTAATTCCATATTCGAATGTCCCGTTCAAGCTATTAAAATAAATATTTCCATTTATTAATACACGCGTTTCTTGTATATTTTCAAATTTCAGTAATTGGAATAATATAATCTCACCATATAACATTCGAATAAAAACATAACATAATCACGTATGCCTGTAAATCGAGAAGGAGTATAAAATTGTCGAATCAATCTCAGTCGAACTGGTCCTTCCGGTATCATGCCATATACGAATATACCGTTTCCATATATACTTTTGAATTGAACATACATTATTGCGGGTCCAATCTAAAAAATTAAATATATTTGATAATAATACATAAGCAATCGTTTTATAAAAGTTGATTTTTGTAGACGCATTTAAAATTTATTACTTATATCTAAATATATAAAATTGCTTGTCCTGACTGACTCACTCATTCATTCACTGATTCATCATCGCCCAGAGCAAACCGCTTAACCTAAAGAGGTGAAATTTGGTACACAGTTAGGGTACGTCATGGAAACGCACACTAAGAAAGGATTTTTCGAAATTCCAACGCGGGGGGGTGAGGGNTATCCTACGATAGATGGCGCGCGTTTACACGAGCATTCGAGCACAGCGTGTTCGATCGATTTCAAATTGTGAAGACCATTTCCCCGTTCAAAAAATATCTATATATATATGCATTTGTGAACTGTTATTTACGATATTTATAATAATTTTTGTTTAATCACTTTATTTCAACTTTTTTTTGCTAATTATGTATTCGTTCGAACTTCGTTAAAATCTTAACTGTACCCCGGACAACAACCGCAGTTGTAAGAAGAAATTCGCGTATTTTACCGATCTAGGTATTCTTCTTTTTCAAATTTTAATATCGACTCAAAATAATTTAAAAAGACAATTTACAATAAAACGGTTTATTATTCAACTATCAGAAATTTCACAACATGCCAAGGAAGAGAGGAAGGAGAAATTAAATAATTAAATTTATAAAGGATTAAAAAATATATATATAAAAATGGGGAATATCGCGCTTCTGACAATCGCTGCGAGTGTATGGGTAAATTTGGTGAATCCGTGCATCTCGCATGGACAACTGTATGTGGCTGGCTCACGCGTCGAAAAACCTTCTGATTTATTCGTGTACAAACCAGACGGTAAAACAAAATGTATATCGTGTATCCACAAACACTCCAATAAATAAATAGAATTGAAACGATACTTTGAAATGTTTTACCGATGAAAATGAATAATAATCATAATAAGTTTCAATAAAAATGATAAAATGTAAATTTTTTATCATAACGAGTTTGCTTGAATTTCTTTTCTTCTGAGATCGCAGCAATGCGCGACGGGTAAGCTAGTAATAAATAAATGTATGCACCTGATTAAATTTATTATTATTTACGTAAAATAAGTAATTCACTTTTAGTTATAGTTAGTTAGAGTCTTTTTATGACGCTCAGTTATAAGGACTGTAATCATCTAACGCAGTAATTATAAAATTTACATACAAAAATATAAGGGGTAATTGAGCAACAACTAATGGGCTAATGGGGTACATCAACAAAAAAGGTTGAGAACCACTGGTTAACATTATGGACAATTTCCTTATATGCACACGTCACACTTCAAATGTAACAACATATCTAAAAATGAATACGAAGAAATAAACAGATAGCCGTTTCCAAAAGAAGTGATACCTCCAAAGACATATAAGCTCAATTTTCAGAAGCCTGATTTTCGGGTCCTTAATAGCTTGGGAAACGGGTCCTTAATATTTGGACAAGGAGCCGTTTTGATTAGAGCTACGTGCTCGACAAGTTTCGTCCAAGTCGGAGACCCGAACGACCGATCCTCTCTTTGTAAGAGGGATTTTCATGCGGTTTCAGCCAGTTCACAACGGGAAGTCAAAACGACTAGAAACAGGACCTAAAACCCCAGAACCATAAATAATGGCTGAAGTTTCTTCGATACGTTTGGATTCCAGAGCAATGGGCTTAAACTACTCGATCGTCCGGATCTAACTGCTCTTTGGAAAAATCGTCATATAATTTCAAATAACTCGGGTTCTTGAAAGTATTTTACAAGACGTTTAAAAATTATTCTGTATTATACCGATTTATTTTCACCGTTAAGAATTTATCAAAGACAATTTGTAAATATTTTCAGAACAGCAACGTAATTACAATCACACCAGAGAAATGGACGACGTGATCCGAATGACCCTTTGAGCGAGGAAATAAAAAGTATTCATTGCATTAAACACAATAACGCAATTTCTGTAATCCCCCACTCGATGGGGTTTATCAATAAACAAAAAATAGAAAATAATCCCGGATTTCCAATGGCGAGTTCCTTTCTTCTCTACTCTTGTAGGAGCCGTACGCTAAGCAAAAGCTTTTTTTCACGCGTTACTTACTCGAATTATTACGCTGCGTACACACTAGGCGTTTTTAAACGCGCGTTTGATGAACCAAGAGTTCTGCATAGGCGTACACACTCAAACGCGCGCTTTTGGCCAAATGGCGTTTATAGATTTTTCTTAAAATGCACGTTTAGCGGATGTCAGCCGAGCGCTTTCAGATATATGTACTGCCATGTTACTATACATTCGATCGCATGCTTTTGAGTAGAGTGGACGTACGTTGACCGAAATGGAAAACGATCATTTCGATACTGATCTATTTATTGATGAAATCTAAAGGAGACTAACCATTGTCAAAAGATTTTATAGATATTTTAAAAGAATTAAAAAAACTTGGGTTTACTTCGTCTCAGTTTTGGTTACAACGTCACAAACATTCCATGTGTCAGTCTATCTCGTAATATCGGGTGCACCCAAAATTCTCTTTGCCTCTGCCATCGTCTTTTATAGCGACGATGGAGGCGAGGTACAGAAGCAATTACTTTCACGTCCATTTCAAAACTGAGCCAGTGCGTATGCTCCACTAAACGCTTGTCTAACGCCGAGCTAACGCCTGGTGTGTACACTGCTAACGCGCGTTTAACGCAACGCAAAACGCCTAGTGTCACAGCCTTATCGTTATTCGCAAACAATTAGAAGGAATTTAAACGTTTTCTATATGAAAACCTTTCTATATACAGTAGAACCTCGATTAATCCGGACTAGTTGGGGATGAAGGTAATCCGGATAAGGAAAAATTCGGATAATCGGAACAAACACTTTAATTTGTCTTTTTATGATAATACAACACGTTTTCTTTTCGATGTCATATCGGTAATATTAAAAATAAATACTGTATTTAAATCGTGATCAAATTCCAAGAAATAAACGTTCGTATTGAATTTGGACTACTACTGACCAGTGCTAACAGACTAGCTATTGTTTAAAAGGACCTGTGATGGCTCAAAAAGACGGATTTTATAAAATAAAAAGCAGTTGAAACTACATATTTATGAATAAAAATTTCACAAACTATTTATCGTTTTATCATGAGTAAAATTTTTTCGTCGCGTTCTCGGCTTTTAAGTAATGCATAAACCTTCGAGGCCCTTCGGTCCGCGAGGCATAGGCGGTGGCCCACGTTGCCCATGCCTTACGCCGCCTTTGGTCATAGAAATGATGTAATTTGAATATAAATCTATCTATATATATATATATAAATGGACGTGTGTGTCCCTATATTTCACTTTTCAGCCAAAACTACACATCGCACATGAATGGTGTTTGTATGTGGTAGTAGCCCCAAGTCTCCATTCGTGCACTATGGTGGTTGCGTCTCGATAGCTATAAGGGTGCGGGAGATATGGGGTTGAAAGTGGTTGAAAGTGGAAGATTTTCTATTTCGATTTTAAAAATTTTCGAATTCGAATTGGTTCGATTATAGAACGATTGTAAACGTTCCAGAAAATTGATCAAATTGAAAATAGTTCGTTTGACTGGACGTAAAAATTCTCTAATTAGTCTGGAAACGGGGGACCTAATTCTTGCATTTTGTAAAAACGGGTAAGATTGGCTATAATGTAATTATCTTAATCTTCACTATCGTTACTTTTTGCCCACAAATAAAAACCCAGCGAAGCGAGTCCTTGCAGCTAGTTTTAAAATATTTAAAAAGAAAGGATCTAAACAGAACTTGGATAGCTATCGCCCAATTACTATTATTCAGAGTATAACTAAAATAATTGAAAAGGCTTTCTATAGATAATTTTTTGAATTTCTGAATAAATATAAAATTATATCTAATAATCAACATTGTTTTAAAAGAGAGGCCTCTAGAATTTATGCTTTGACTCATCTTAAACAATGTATTAGTTACAATCTCGATAATTCAAATATTGTAATAACAGTGTTAATTGATCTGCATAAGACTTTTGATAGCGTAGATATTCAAATATTAAAACAAGAATTGTTTAAAGTCGGATTGAGAGAAGTGCCATTGGAATGGCTAATATCCAATTTATCAAATTGTACGTACTATATTAAGGTAGAAAATTCAATATCAAAACCTTTTCTAGTGAATAAAGGTGTCCCACAGGGATCAACTTTGGACCCACTACTTTTTAATATATATGTAAATAATATTGTAGAGACTATTTCCGAGAATAATATTATATAGTATGCTGATGATATTGTTATAACATATGCAGATTCAAATCTTCAATAGGTTGAAAATAATATAAATTGTTTTGTGGCTAAATTAAGTAAGTATATGGTAAATAATAATTTAAGTGTAAATGAAAATAAAACAAAAAATATTTGTTTGTGAAATAAAAACAAAAATGTTAATTTAGAAGATATACAAGTAAGAATAAATAGTAAACGTATTCAAAGAGTTAATACTGTAAAATATTTAGGTATTGAAATTAATGATAAATTTCAATGGAATAATCATATAAATAATTTAACACTGCCTTTGTCTAGATTTATTAGAATACTGAAAAAATAATGAGTTTTTTGAATTTTGAGACTGTTTTGCGTTTATCTCACGCTTACATAAAACCCAAACTTCGAAGTGGTATTTCCGTATGGGGTACAGCTTCTTTTTTGTATTGAATAGGTTGCAAGTTATACAAAAAAAAACTTTATAAGAGCGTTATATAAGTTACCTTATGATTCTTCTGTCACTTTTTTATAACCAGACCAAAATTTACAAAAGAAAAGCTTTATATAAAAAAACAAGTTCTTCTAGAAAGTTTTAAGCTAATAAAAATGGGCAAGAAAGAATCTTATATAAGTAATGAGTTCGATAAACACTTTAGGCCTTCTAACTACAACTATCGATCGAAAAATAATTTAATTCTATCAAAAGTTAAGCAATGTTTTGGACGAGACGTACCAATATTTCAATTTGTATATAACTGGAATGCTTTAAGAGAAGATTACAAAGATTTCAGTACTTACTGGCAATTTAAACGGACTGTAAAAAAATTGAGCTGTGATTAGTTGTTTGTATTTTTATTTTATTATTATTTATTTTTTTCTTCTCTTCGTTCTTTTTATTGTTTTGTTGATTGTATATCATATGTAGTCTGTATCTAGTTTTTTTGACCTTTGAAAAAAGCCAATGGTCATAGGGTCGTTTGGTTAAATAAATAAAATAAAATTTTTGTTTTGTAACGAGTCGTTTTACGTATCAGTACTAATAAGCGGTAGCGTAGTTCTAGAAGTATTTTTACGCTAATTTTGCTCTTCGGTTTTGTCAAAGTGTACACGATATTATAAACTGCCATTAGAATTATTGAATAGATTGTAAAAGCTCTAAAATCGTGTAATAATTGATCTGACAACCGACAAGTGGCACGACTTACAGGAGGCTAATCATTCATAGCCTATGGACTTGCAAACAGATTTCTAACATACTTTCATGCCGTACAATGAAGTGAGATATTGGTTTGTAATAAGGTTTCTCCGAAAATAAAATTATGCCTGTTGTCCTAGATAAGATTTGAAGCAACGATAAAACTTCCGCCGAAATTTGAGACGAAATTTCTGTGTTAATAACAGTTATGTTTTATCAATTTTAATTACTTATTAGTTTTGCCCACCAATATTTCATTAATAGTATTTAGCAATATTTTTGGGTTTGATTTTTGTTTTAAATATGATTAAATTAAACAGATGGAACAGCGAATAAACTTGCTGTTTTTCACTGTTAAGCGTAATTATCTGTATTCATCTATATGCGTATATAATAGAAAAAAAGATTGTTAGGTGGGCAGAATGTTTATTCTAAGACTTTGTTTTATTCCCTTCTGCAGATATCGCGCGGCAAATTGCTAAAATTTTTTTCATTATTTTGTACAATTCATTGTCAGGTTTAGCAAAATGCCATCTGTGTACTTTTGGAAAAAATGTTTGTCTTTGATCGAAATGTCAATGCTACGTAAATTTTCTGCACTTACTCATAGTTGAGAGATGATCAGTAGGAGTAAAAATGGCTAGAAGGAGTTGTAATATTTGTGTTTTAGGAATGAATGATGTCTTAAGACGAGGTATGTGAAATGTCTGAAATTTTTCTTGTTCTTTATAGAAATGATATAAGAAAATATTTTCAAAACGTCAGTGCCAAAAACAGATTAACGTATTTTTCAGAAATGTTTAGAATATTTGTATCTCTTTAATATCGGATGTGATAACGCTTTATAATAGTGCCCTGCCACACGCATATTGTTAAAGTGCCAAATTTCACCTTTAATATCTGAAATACCAAAGAATCGATGTGAATGAAATCTAAAATATTTAGTTTCCGCGATTAAGACTACGGAAATGGTAATGCTGAATAAATTTGTTGCATCGCTCTGGCCTTAGGAATACCAATATTTAGCATTTTTTGCATTAGATTTACAACTACAGAGATTCTCCGGAAACAAAGCTACCGAAAAACGTTCTTAATAGCTTTTTGAAAGCTGACTATATATTTTGTGGTGTTTTAATAGGCTTTATTTTCAGATATTCAAATGTTTTATAATTAACTTCTGTCTTATATTTTAAAATTTATTTGGTCAATCGTTTACCTCGAAACGTGATACTTTTCCATTACTTTTAAAGAGGATTGTATTTATTAATACAATCTTGATGATTTAAAGGTAGAATATTGATAAAGTAATATTTCATTGACTGGTTCTTATGTACTGTACCTATAGATAAAAAGGAAAAGTATTAAAATCGTGAAAAATTTGACCCTCGTAGATTTTTGCCAATTTGCATGCTTTGAGACTTTTTCTTTACTGCTGTATATATAGATGACAGAATGTATGTTTTTCTCTGTTTTTATATTTCTATTATGTATTGTATTACATATATACATTATATCTATTCTCTGGAACACTGAGAAAAAGCAGCAGGCTCTTACCTGACTGTCACATGATTATAGTATTATTATGAACAATAATCTCTTATAAAATTATTAATGATTAAATTAAATTAATTAATAAATATATGAATTCCTTCCAAAAGCTGGTAAAAACGGGTTGAGAAAGTAGAGCTCAGCAGAACTATCTAAATAAAAAAACGTTGTGACAGTTTTCGTTGAAAATACTGAAAGCAAAGTTCACAATAAGACTCAACATGCCAATAAATTGCACATTACACTGACTGAAACTACGAAGCTATCATCACGATAATAAATCGGAAAAACAAGCATCGCTACTTAAAAACGGTTCGAGCGTTACTTTGAGCCTTAAATTGTTAACTACATTAATTCAGTTAAACGTAATACCCCGTTCGAACCGAGCATTTCGATCTAGATTCTGACCAAGGTCGGAGACTGTTCCGTGGTGCGACTTCTCTCGACCGTTTCAATCTCGACTGAAACGAGGTTAAATCGCGATTGACTCGAGAGAGTTCTCGAAACTAGATCCAGTCATAAGAGAGATCCCACAATCCTACGCGCGCGAGAGAATACAAGATGGCTGCTGGACACGTGTCCTGCTGGCTGGCGACAGAAAAATAAAAAAGATTTCTGGGGAGACTACGACATCTGTCTATTATTAGATATACGGCAAGATAAAGTATTTATTTCTAACCAAAACTTCCATGTTGTTTGTTGGTGTTCGTGACTTACCGCTTAGTTATGTCAGTATTATCATCGCGTGTAATAGCCGGGTTCTTCTCTAGCGGATTGCCTGTGCGAACAGCATGACGGTCGACTGGCGACAGTCACAATTCAGATTGTAGGTGAATCGAAATCGAAGTGAGTCGTGGATTGTGTGCGAACGTAGTATAAGAACATCTTGTAGTAGTATCAGTGAAAAACTTTGATACAAAAAGTAAAGCTGGAAACTTTTTTCTCTGAAAATGTTTGTTTCCTCGATTTATTATCCAGATGACAATGGTTAATGCAAAATTTCCTTTATTTGTGGTTCGGATAATGTGCACTTTGTTTACATGTTGAGTCTCACTATTTAATCTTTTTCAACTATTTTTATTCCATAACTTTTAAAAGTTTTTTTTATTCACCTGCATCTGCTGAGCTTTAATTTTTCAACTTAGTTACACCAGATTTTTATGAGATAATCACTGTTTTAACTAGTAATTTAAATATTTTCTTTTAACACAACCAACAACACACTTACACTAACTTATGTTAATTTAAAAACTAACTTTTGATGTTGCTAAGTTAAAGGAATAATAAGAAGTCTCTTGTTCGTTTTATTTGAACAAAACAAAATATTTCATTCTCTATTTAAAATAAAAGTATAACCTATGATATATAAATATATATCATACTATATGAAGATTCTTAGTATTTCAATTCGGAAAATTATCTCTGTAAAGAATATGTATTTGTGAAATATTGAACACTTTAATATCACTAAAAGTAATTACAGTAGAGCGTCGATTATACGAAAGACAATCATTCGAAACGTCAATTATCCAAAATAATTCCAGTCGGAAAATTTAAATTTTCGCCAGTGCTGTGGCGCTGCAATCTATGGCTATGTCTTGGGCTACTAAAATATTTTACGTTTTTGATAATAAACTAACTTCTGAAGTATAATTTTTTATTGTTTTCATATTTTTCAATATATTTATTTTGTTCATACAAAATAAAAAAAAATTTTAACAATAAAATAGTCTTTGTTATACTTAACATCGACGAAAATTTAACGCGAAGCGACACGCAACGGAGAAAAATGTCAAGATGAGATAAATTAATATATTTTTTCATTCATAATCGGTATATTTCGTTTAACACCAGTCTCCAATTGATTCGGATAATCGACGTTCTACTGTGATTATATTTTGAGTCTATTTACCAGCTTGAACAGAGTGCAAAAAATGCTGAATATGTTCTCAATATAATGCATGTATTGAAAATAAATTTACTAAATTGTGAAATTATTTCTGTCATATACGCATTATTTATTTCGATTCGTAAAATCTATGAATCGTTTTGGGCAATCTGTTGAAAATTATCGAAAATTATTTTATAAATTTTTACACATATATGTATTTTTGAAATCTTTTCAAAAAATTGTGCACCGTAGTGTAAAATTAAACACCTATAATATCTTATTAATTAATTACCTGTCGAATATCAACAGATAGCCGTAGTACAGATATCCCGAACAATTTAATAGTGGTAATGCCTTCATATTTGCAACAGTAAAATGTTTCCTCACATACTGGAAGGCGAGATATATTGATTATAGTCTGAAAATATTTCCACCAATTTTCCGGATGCAAAGTAATTCTAGACGAAATACCAAATTTGTGAACACAATTGATATGAGCGAAATCTGCTGCATTTTCCATAATTTCCTGTGGTATAAAAATAAAAAGTCATAAATAATATATTTATTTATTTTGCACTGTGTTGTTTATAAATACCTGAATATGACAATTCAAAATGTGTTCACTACGAGCTTTATAGAACATTAGTCGATTCTCTATTTCTGGTATAACTGGAGGTTTCCACAGAGGAGGTTGGCCTTCTGCATGATGCCACACGTAAATAAATCCATTTTGTTCGATGGTTTCCCAACTTTTTATTTTAGCCACTTCTGGAACTAAGTTTAAATACATTTTTTTACTGTGTGTTCTATTTAATATCACTCAAAAAACAAAAGATGTCTTTTCAGCATTGTAAGAATATAAAAGTCTGGTGCAATGGTTTTATTGAAACGTTGAAAGTAGAATTAATTAATTCGATTAATAAGACACACGTAAATCGAATTACACTTTAGTAGTAATACATATAATTTTGTAAAGTTTACCATTACCCCCCGAAAATTTTGTTATTATTCTATCTATATAAATATATTAGTATTTGTGAATTGTTATTTTTACTACATTATTTGTATAATTTCAGTTATAATTATTTTAATCCTTTTGCTATTAATGAATTCGCTTTAATTAATCAGTTAGAAATTTATTTTGTATATTAAAGTTTAAATTTACTTTATATCATTTTTTTGTTGTAGCTGATGGTATAAAAAAACAACTGTTAGCTATCAGATAACACGTCTTTTAGACCCATATCTCTAAGAAAAGATGCGTATGTAAACGTGACACCGAGATTGTTTATCTATCAACTAACGGTGTAAAAAAATTTTGTCTATTTTTCCAATTTTAGGGACCCCTTTTCAAATTTTAGTAATTGATTTAAAAAAATTTAGATAAACAAATTAGAATAATAAAGAAAGAAATTAATTGTTATATATCTTACAACATGAGAAGAAAAGGATGGGAGATGCCCAAAGTTCCTCCTTTATCGATGGTGTTATATGACCGATGGTATCACATGAACGCACATAATTTTTCATTGACAAAAGAGGAGGAGGACCACTAGATAACCAATCATGCATTTTTTAAAATATCTCACCTTTATCCAGAACTAAAGCATGATTGGTGAAAAACAAAGAAAAAAAGAAAGAAGTGACGAAATTATCAGAGAGTGAGAGAGAATTTACAGAGTGGCATAAAATTGAGAGATTGGGAGAGAGTAAGACAGCATTAAGCGACTGACTGATTAACTGGCCGGACAGGGGATTGACCAGATAAGAGACATCCGACCTAGTAAAGGGCCAAATAAAGAAGAAAAATGACGAAAAAAGAGAAGAGAACAGAGAGAGAAAGTAAAACAGGAAGAAATAACAACTGTATTCCTGTTATGTTGTAAGTTGAGCGCAGTACGTATACCAGGGGTGGCCAAAACGTGGCGCATGCACCAAATGTGGCGCATTGGACGATTACAAGTGGCGCTTCAGTTAGTTCTGAGCAAAATTGCCAGATTTGGCTTTTTTGCGATTAAGAATATTATATAAAAAATGAAATTTTTTATAGTCTGTCATGGCAAGTTCATTTGTTGCACAATTTGTTACAGTCTATTTTGCAGATAAAATGAGTGTTCTCCACATAGTAAATTACAGTGAACGCACGTATTTTGAGTCTTGCGATCTTTATTTCCGATCAGTTTACAGGCGTGTAAATGGCAGAAAACATTTATTGTGATTAAAGTTATTCCAAGCTGATCTTGTTCTCAGTGCCAAAAATTGTGGTGCAGGGTAATCTTTACCAAACGAGACTCTGGCAGCAATAGCACCATCATGAAACAATAGCCCTCTCATACAAGAGTATACAAGAGATTATTGTTGACTATTGTAAATTGGTGCTTCAATGAACTGTCATAAATTAATTAATTCAACTGCGTAATAAAGTTATTCCTTTTTCTCTCCTAAGCGAAGCAGATTTATTCTTATTTCTATTTATCAACCCCTAACATTGAACGTAAGATTGTATAAAAATTGTTCGAGTTATATGGCGCATCTGAACTCGTCTGTCAAAAAATTGGCACATGGTATTCAAAAGGTTGGCCACCCCTGACGTATACCCTCGTTAGTTACCCCCTCGTTCTATAATAAAAATAGATCAATTTCCTAAATCGGGTCTTTTAATTTTCTTTTCCGAAAATAAACTCTTGTTATTTGACCTGACGCTGCATTCATCTTAATGAGAGACTCATACCTATTCTTCAGAGTTACACTTACCTTCGCGCCTTAACTTTTTCTTTTGGCTAAATCGGCGGTGTTTCTGACAAAACATACCGGAAAGCAGGACCCTATGCTAAACCGCATAATCTTATTATTGACAGGCCCCCTTACCCCACAATTTGATATCTCTGTTTGTCGCATAGGTAACAAAAGAAAATTATTATAATATTTTGTATAATTTTAAAATATTTTAAAATCATTGCATAATTTAATACAATAACCCTTAAATTTATTTTGCTGTTGTACGTGTGTAAAGGCAGCACATCACATAACCATCAGCAGCAGAGAGCAAAGTAGACGATTGAAACTGTCAGTGTAAGTGGCACTTACCACATCTTTCATCTTTGATTTCAATTTGCCTACTTAGCAGGTCAACAAAACGCAAAAATAAAGAGTTGACAGCAACCCAATCGCTCCATGTGATGCTACACTAATGTGATGTTTTATTAGTTTAGCATGTGATGCTACACTAATGTGTTTTGGTAAACCTGCAAAGACAAGTCATGGCAGTCAAATCATAGAAATCATAGGTGCCATAGAACAAAATTGTATTTTTATTCCATTGCTTATCAAAAACCTGTATAATCTGGTTAAATTTGAACCAGCTGTTGCACTCTAATCCTGGTCGCTAACCTGCCATGGTAGTTAGTAGTAGCAAGTTATACAGACAATTGCCAACTGTAAAAAATATAAGTATAATAGTCACAAGACGATAAATAAAAGACTATCAAGATGCTCACCCAACACTTCACATCAGTCCTTTAGCGTAAATCGTAACTGGGTAGTAAATTTCGTGTGTACTTGTGATCTAATTACAGTGGTACGCATTATCTCAATTCACTATTATAGAAATATGTGGTTAGTTAATAATCTATAAAATATTTTCCATTACCTTGAGAATATCGTATGGATTAACTAAACACTTATTTCTAACTAGGTGGATCGTTTTTCTCAAGATTTCCTAGGTCTAACTTGGCATAAACGTATCACTATGTTGCAACAGCAAAACTTTTGTGCATGAACACTATATGTGCCTGTTGCAGCTTTCAAATAAATAGGTGCTTGTTATCTATTTGTATTAATCATTGATGAATTCCTGTATGTTTTAGTCGTTTTCTCACATGTGTACAATTTTGCATATAAAATAGTGAAAATCAGTTTGAACTCAACTGTGCTATTAATTTTAGTCAAGCAACCTGTTACATTGAAAATAGTTTTATGTGCATTACGGTGTTTATAAAGTTATAAAGTTCCTGTGGAGTCTACTGTATATGCTGCTGTTCGTGCATTCGGTATTTTTCTTAAAAATACCAATAAATCATTTAGCAACGTTCTCCATGCGTGTAAGACAAAGTTGAAAATGTCTGATTCTATGTTATTTTTCACATTAAAATTTTATATTGCATATTGATCTTAAGATCCTGCTACCAATGTAAAGCGTTCATTACCAAAATTCTCGTGTTCAAGAAATTAATTTATTTAATTTTAATCGTCATAATAAAACTAATGCACTATATTCATATTCTCCTACAATGCGAAGAAAAGCAGTTATATGTATGAATTAGCGTAGATGTATTAAGTATACATATATTTAGCACTTCTCACTTTTTTCTGCGTAAGGTATTTTCACGCAAGAACCATCCTGTCCAGCAAATCGCCATCCGTGGAAAGGACATTCGATACAATCCTCGTGAACCTTGCCATCAGTTCCTAAGTGAGCGCCCAAATGAGGGCAATAAGCATCTANTCAAATTTTCAATCTAAATGCTTATAACTTCTATACAACACTGACTAATAATTGAGTTTTTCGTGCGGATTATACACGAAATTACCGATTAAAACATTAAAATCTTCCTTATTAAAAAGTGTAAAACATATTTTATTAAAAATAGATTATTATTTTATAAATAAATTAAATAAAAACTTATCAATTTAAGTAAATCTAACGTTCGACATTGACTTAAACAGGAAATCGAAGCTTAAGAGAAAAAAAGGGAGGTTCTATAAATAGTTTGAATTAATTCTATTATTCTACTGACCTAATTGGTCAGTAGGTGATTGAATGTCCCGTGACGTAATTGGGTGACGTAAATTATAATTAATTTTGTCACACCCCTCGAAAGGGTTGATGAAATGAAGAGTTTATTTTCATCACCCGTTTCCTTTTCCCAGCATTTTCTTTCGTAATTTTGGAAGTTTTCACGTCATAAATAATTTTTTTAAATATAAATTTTACTGCACGAATTTTATTATTTTATTTATTTTTGAATGCTTTTATATTACCAGAAGGTATAATATAATGTTTTTTACGTGTCAATGAATCATAAATTCGATTATTTTCTCACCTGTACATAAAATTATTTTGTAAATAATACAGAAGAATATTAACGTTTAAATAAACGTTAATATTAACGTTTATTTAAACGTTAATATTCTTCTGTATTATTTACAAATAGAATGCTGAAATGATTGTACGTGACTAAAGATTACCCCATTTGTAATTAAAGGAAATTTCTCGCGTTTCTAACTTTATAGAAAACATAATTATAAAAAAAGGAAATAGTAGTAATAGCTGTAAATAGTCTTCTGTCTGCAATTAAATCCTTTAAATATGTTGTAATTACTTGACCTGACAATACTGAGTAAGCCATAAGTTAGAAAAACAATGAGTATTGTATAGAATTTCCAAGTAAGTGCTGTGACGTACTGCTATAATATCGATCGAGTAAGCGATTTTCTTTTGAATTGCCTGTCATTTTATACCCATTGACAGAGTGACTGACTAGATCATTGGACAATGTAATCCTTGCACACTGTTTCATTCCGCAAAGGACACATAAACATAAAATTGCCTTCTCATTGACTATACAGTGCACTTTTATAATTCAAAGATAATGCGTGTGAGAAAATCACTTTTTCCAACACTAAAATTTATAAAATTAACAATTAACAGTTACAATTAACAACTAAATAGTTCAGAATTGTTCGAGAAAGTTTCAGTACATTTATACCATAAATCAGGGGTGGCCAAAACGTGGCGCATGCGCCAAATGTGGCGCATTGGACGATTACAAGTGGCGCTTCAGTTAGTTCTGAGCAAAATTGCCAGATTTGGCTTTTTTGCGATTAAGAATATTATATAAAAAATGAAATTTTTTATAGTCTGTCATGGCAAGTTCATTTGTTGCACAATTCGTTACAGTCTATTTTGCAGATAAAATGAGTGTTCTCCACATAGTAAATTACAGTGAACGCACGTATTTTGAGTCTTGCGATCTTTATTTCCGATCAGTTTACAGGCGTGTAAATGGCAAAAAACATTTATTGTGATTAAAGTTATTCCTATGTGCCTCATGCCTCTAATAGATCAGAGTATCGTCGGATGGCTGAGCAATTAAAGTGGTAGCCTTGCTATCACTCTGGGAAACCTGGAATCGAATCAGGACAAGTCGAAAAATTCTGAGGAATTTTTCGGAAGGTAGTCCGTCTCGCACCACCTACCGCCCCATTGTAGTCTGGCCAAACTCATAATGTGTTTACTAAAACGAAGTCCTCTGAAAGAGTTAAAAAAATAGATCATAGTTAACCATTAATTCTGAGTGATAGTTTTACATATTAAACATTGATATGTGCTTAAAAAAACAAATTTGGAGTGTGAGTTCCATGTGTGAAGGAAGTGAGGATTTGGATATTCCTCACTTCCTTCACACTTACTTGTTAGTGAAATTTCTGAATAAAACTTTGTTTTCTTTTGAATATTTGAATGTAAAAATAAGATAATCCTGTTTTCCTCAATAAATGGTGAGTGAAAATAAGTTATAGACCTACTTTTTCAAAAGAGAATCCACAAAGCTGTGGATCAGCAAAACGGTAAAATAAAAATAGAAATCTCTTTACGAGATTTCTATTTTTATTTTATACATAAACTGTCAAGTTGCTAATTTGATAAATAATTCGAAAATGTATTAGAAAATATTATTTAATCATGAGTTTAAATGAAATAACATGATACTTTTACATTTATGGAAATAAATGTGGTAAACAATATAATTCTTGAATGCACTAAGCGGTATAATTGCATCTTACAATTAACATACGTGATGAATAACTTTATTGTGTATGTCAAATTATTGTACGTAATTACATAATTACTATATAATGAGAATTTGTGAATAAATCCTCAGAGTAAAATTAATGGAATTTAAAAGTGGAGACAAATCGTTACTTTTAATAGTTTNAAAAAAAAAATGTATATAGGACTGTAAACAATATAGAAAATTATAAATAAATTATTTATCTCTATTATAAAATTGAATATAAACATAGAGATTTTTTTATTAATTATTAATAGAAAATTGATAATATTGTATGTCCTAGTGATTTTTTGACATAATTCCTTCTTCAGGAAGAAAAATGAAAGGCGGTAGTATTAATGGTCCACTTCCGCTATTCTCTGACAGTGAAATTGGGTCTTAAGGTCCGTTATTTACGTCTGACTTACCAACTTACCAGTAATAGAAAGTAGTACAGTAGGCCAGACAGACAGCCGTTTACAATTGTAAGCACTTTCCTTTGTACGAATAACGCGATACACATCGCTTTATGGCTGGTTCTCTTTCACAAATATTGTTCCCTGCTCTCTATTTTCAGACCAGTTCCTCTCCCACTTAATATTGTTTGTGTAGAACTCGTTCGCTATTCACTACAATGGCTTTTATAGTCGGATCTTTCCTTATCGAGTTAAATTCGTTGTTTATTTCTTACAGGGCCCTATGCTATAACATCTAAGAGGCCTTTGTCTTCCGCTAAATAACGATGAAATTAGCCTAATACTATGAGATCTTCGCGTGAGGCCTTAAGCTCAGGATTGTCGAGTTTGTATGGGGATGCGTATTAGAGCGTGCTCCTTTAGTCTTTTGTTTTTTTTGAAGAAATGAAGTATATAGAATGTTTATTTATTAATTTTAAAAAGTATTAAATATATTATTTTCTGTTAGTTTAAAAATAACGGTAATTTTATAGGGGTAAAAATAACTACGTGCTCTTAAGCTTTCTCTGGATCAGAGAAAAAATCCCCAGCAACCCTTCTAGTAAATGAGTCTTTCTTCACCACCTAATATTAATAATAAAGAATGTAAAATGTAGGCCTCAACTGTATCCTAGGTAGCGTGAGACCCAAAGCAGTAACTTTTTTAGCTTATGAAAATTCAACCTTGGTTACATAACTTCACATAACAAGGAATACTGTATATATTTTGCACAGACTATTATGATTTACCACATATGCTAAACAAGCTGCAGCATAGGGCCTCACGTTAAGACTATGGTCTCACATTTTTATATGCATCAACATTTGGTAGAAGGGAGGGGCCTTTAATATGTTATAAGGGGCCCAACAAGTTTAAGGCCAGTTCTGAATATAGCAAATGTGTTTATATAAGTTTATGTGAAAAGTTGAATATATAACAGATAATTTTACGTTATGAAAATACATAAAAAATACATTTAGCAAATACAACAATATATATTTATATTATGGACAAAGAATATAAATACATACCATTATAAATACATATTAGCATGACATAAATGCATAAATACGTGCTCTATAACGCATGATAAACATATTCAATTGATATATATTCATAAAAATGATTACAATTGACATTATTTCTAAATAATATCAAAGTCAAGGATTCAATATCAAATCATTATCATGTTCTACTATATTATTCATAATAAATCATAGATTTTTAATATACCAAAAGAGATATAGGAAAATACATATTATATTTTTAAAATATTTTTTAAAAAAATTTAAATTATGAACAAACAAAATCTAACCATTCATAACTAAGCATATAAATGACGTCATTTAAGTTATTTATAAAATAAAATGGGTACAGAATAACTTCCTTATCTGATTAGAAGTTAAGAAATCACTGCTCTGTGTAAAGTTTTGTTGTTATGTGAGAATAAAGTTTACATAAGTAAAGTAGTGCAGCTGGAGAAAAATGTTATAGTTTTTTACTTTTTATATTAATTTTTATTAAAATAAAGTGTTAAAAATTAAATAAGGATGTTTTTAAGCTTTGTTTCTAGCACAGACATACAGTAATGTACAATTATTTATAGAAAGAAGAGTTGATACAAAAGGAACTGCATTAGTATCTTGCCATTTAATAAAATTCCCTATAGAATAAAGAAATAAAACTAATTAGATACATTACAATTAAATTTACATTAGTAAATATACTTAATGGATCATTAAGATTTTGAATATTTATAATAATATATTGATTATATAGCAGTAAAATTCAACTTTAATAAATAAAATTTTACTGTGCATCTATATTTAAACTTCAGAATTTACTTCTACTTTCATTTTTGTAAAAATAAATGTGATTTATAATAAATAAAAATTTTATGCTGACATGTTATTCTTAACTTATACAAAATAACTGGGAAATACCTTAATATTCAGGTTTAGATTTGTAACAGGAAAATCCAGAATTTATAAAATTTCAAATAATGTTTAGATTTATATGTTATTTATCTTCTATATTTAGTAGCATATTTAATCTCCAACTATATAAATTAATTATATTAAGATATCGTGCATTTCTACAATATTTCTATACAATAAACTATACAACAAGCTACGGTGTGATGATATAATTACCGTCATACAACACAAATTTAGCAATAAAATATAATAAAAATCTGTAATACCTTTTCTAAAACACAGCATGAAAATGTAAGAATATTTAAAAGTTACTTTTCGCTATCTAAAATAGAACAATTTTATAAGAAAAATGAAAGTATGTGGGCTTACAACAAGTGATACAATATGAAAATATAAATATGAAAGGAAAATACGCCGGTTGAATATGAAAAATTGTCAATCAAGTTTTATTCTAGAAGAGAATGTCCTTCCTAATGTCAAGGCCTTGGTTTTCTAACCGGTTACCTGATATTAAACGACCTCAAAGGCGTTATCTAGCGGAAGTAGTCTATAGTTAAATTTATCCTTCCGTACTAGCTGCAAGCTATTGGTTGAGTTCCGGCGGTAAAAAGACCCAACTATCCAATACCTATACTGATTTGAATACGGAGACAAGTTTTTATAAAAATAAGTTTAAAAAATAATATCTCGGCTTTTATCTTACGGGTCAATCATAAGATCATAGGGTGCCGTTGAGAGAAAAATCGTATAAATACTCAGCAGCGTTAGGTTCGAGTCACACTCAGTTCACTCCTGAACAAATATCTCCTACCATTACAATCCTAAACATGATTGGAAAGGTAATATTACATTCGAATATACAGTATTAACTGAATATACTCAGCTATTGGATTAGTCTAATGAATTTCTTTCATCTTACAGCTCACCGTATTGTTTGCCACCTTGGCCTGCTGCTCGGCCATTGATGTAAGTACCATTGTTTTTAAATTTAACTCTCCTTTTTAATTGTTTTGGCTAACTAAAAGTGGAATCTTGTACAGTATTTCAGACCGGAGCCATATGCTTTCGGATATGATATCAAGGATCCATTGAGCGGTCTTAAATATCGTCACGAGAAGAGCGATGGCAAAGGACACGTTAAGGGAAGTTACGGATACACCGATCCATTTGGAATCTTCAGAGTTGTCGACTACGTTGCCGATCATTTCGGATACAGGGCCAAGATCCGTACCAACGAACCAGGCACCGCCAACCAAAACCCAGCTTTCGTAGATATCTATTCTAAGGGAGGTAACTTCGTACCACTTCTGTCCATCGGAGGAAAGGGAGGTTACGGAGTTCACCACGGACCCGGCCCATTGCTCCACCGTGGCGTCCTCACCGGAGCCAAGAGTGGTCTTCACTCCGCACTCCACGCTAAGGCCGTCCACGCTCCACACCACTTCGGAGCCATCGGTTTACCCACAGCTGTTCACGCTTCCAAAATAGCAGCTCCAGCAGCAGCAGGTGCAGCAGCAGGTGCAGCCGCCGGTGGTGCAGCAGGAGCTAAAGCAGCTGCCGCTCAGAAGGCTCTCTCCGGTTTTGCTGGCACTCCCCTTGCGGCTCTACTGGGTCAAGGAGGAAAGATCGGACAAATCGGACAAGTCGGACAAATTGCGCCCATTGCTCCAATTGCGCCCATCTCTCCCGTCCATTTCGGTTAAGTAGAATAACCACGTAAAGACTGTATCTATAATTTCACTGTAATGTGTCCGTGACATATGTGATGTGTTCGTCATTTGTTATATTGTTTGCGTGATCCCCGTTATAAAAAGACAGCAGTGTTGTCACACAACATTGATTCTGTCTCAAATTGTACGATAGATATGTGTTGAAACTATTTTGTTCGGTTCTTGTACAGCCCTTTTGTTGTTGATAAAAAATAAATGTTATGTGATTGTTTATATATTACTTTTCCTTATTTTTTACACACACCGTAAGAAAATACAGCCTAAAAACGTTTTAAAAACACGAAATCTCCCATAAATCATGAATTAATAATAGGACTCATTACACAAATAAAAAATAATTTCTGATAAGAAGTAATGATTTAATTAACGTTAGATCTAGTTTCGGAATTATATTCTTTACATTTTAAGGACCCTTTTTTATATAAAAACCTCACTACAAAGGACACGAAGCTCCAAAGTAAACCTAACTTAAGATTCAAATACGGTATTTGGATATACAGTATTGTTCTTCTTAATAAACAGTAAATAATTGATTTATAATTGACATAAAATAGCAATTAAATTATTGAATTTTATTCTCTTTTTATAAGAATTTTAGGAAATCTTCCTCAATTGATCCTATAAAATATTAATGTAGTTTGGCAAAATTTGAAGATTTTAAGATATTCTTCTTTAATTAATAACAACACACTCCATTACATCCATTAAAAATAAATTTATATTTTTAAATATTTTTATAAATAATCTATTGATCATCATCGTCTATAATATTTTATAAATGTGTTCAATTAATAATAAAATTATATTTTTTAATTTAATAAAGGCAATTTTTAAATTATAAAATAAACATTCTCAAATTATATAGCTACAATAATATTAAATATAATTTATCCAAAAAATTATTTTTATATTTAGAATTTTGTTCTAAAAATCTGAAATATATTTAAATATACTTTAAATATTCCAAATTATTATTATAAAATAGTTATTTTCCTCAATTAATTTCTCCTGGAAAGAAAAAAAAAAAAAACTTTAACCAACAACATAATAATAATTGGAAATATAGAACTAAAGATTCAAATATTAATGAACTTAAGTAAAAAATTATAACAAGAATAACACCTTATTTTAAATTTATATTATATTTTATTATTTTTATTACTAGAGACGAACTTCCAACGACGGGCACCTCTAAACGGTGCCCATTTTTTTTTTTCCAGGAACTTTGAACATAAATGCCTAGAAAATAACCTTCAAACAACGACTCTTATTTTATGTTCCTTTACTGTCCGTTGTTCAGAGGTTTAACTGCTTTATTAACTTTCTAAATTTATTATAAAGATAATAAATCTGCATTATGTCCAGAAAAAGGTAAATAATTAAATCGTTCTTATATAAATATTTATTTTTGTAAGCCTACATAAGCATTTGTTGCATAAAATATTTTAAAATTCAATACAGTGGGTGATCGGTTAACGAACATAATCCGTTCCAAGACTTTGTTCGCTATCCGAATTGTTCGTTAACCGATTATCGATTTACCATAGGTTTCTATGGGAATTTAATTAATTCGTTCTGGAGACACCCAAAAATAAAAATAAAAAATATATACTTTCTTACTACGTTTATTTATATGTAATAATAAAAATACATATATACAAAGTCTTGCATTTTTATTAGTCATGTTTTTTCCGTTTGTGGAGGTTAAAGAATCTGTCTAATGTCGATTGCTTTTCTTTCTTCAGGATTTTTTAGAAGTAATTAACAGTATTGTAATTGTAAAGATCGTTAACCCTATTAACTTCAACCTGATTTGGATGCCATTCTAAGACCGTTGTTCTGACATCTTCCCACTTCTTCGAAAGATGTTTAATAGCAAATATCGACATTAATCCTCTTTTTCAGAAGAAAACATATCTCGCCGAGTTTCTTGGTGTTCTTCATTCAAGAGTCCTTGGCATTTTTCTGTCGTCAGATCAGTTTCAGGTTCCATTATGAGCTCTTCAATGTTTATTTCTCAGATGTGATTTTTGTTACACCTTTAGCTGCTTGAGTCTTCTTGATTATACAGTATCTTTCTTAGATAATATTGAACTGCGGCCTACTGTAGACCTGTTCAAGCCATACTGCCCAGCAACATCAGACATCTGCTCATTCTCTACTTTTGCTATTATACTCTCACCTTTCGAAAATAAAAACCCGCGCAAAATTTAAGGAGGGCCGCCCGACAGTCTCGCGAATATTATAAAAGAATTGTTTCTGTCAGAAAAATAAAAGGTTGGACTTACAAAATATATAGCCTACTGATTGGAGGTATACTATCCGATCAGTATATACCGGATCAGTATATCCGATCAGTATATCGGATATACTGATCGGATATCAGTATATCCGATCAGTATATTCGGAGCGCGGGAGACGTCAATGTCGACGTCTCCCGCGCTCCGAAAAGTTTCGAATTGTTGCCTGAAGACAAGGGAAGACCAATGGTTATTCTTTATTTTACGTCGCTTCTTCTTGTGTTTGTTCTGTGAGGTGTTCGTTATCCGAACATAAAAATCTTACACGAAAGTATTCGTTATCCGATTTGTTCGTTAACCGATCTTCCATTGTATTTTACTTTTCATCTGTTATATATAACAAGAAAAGTATGAAGAGACGTCATAAAATGACCCCCCAAAGATTTTTACATTTATGAACTTAGAAGATCTTGAAACGTGAGAAATGCAAAAAAATTCGAGATTTTTTCTGTGTATACGAATGTTATTATGTATGGGGGGCATAATTTTTTTCATCCACTTTAAAGCTTAATAACTTCTATGCCTTTTGTCAAAAATTTCTGAAATTTTGTAGGGATGTTTGTGTATTAGGGGGATTGATGCTATGAAATTTTGGTGCTTAAAGGTTGAGCGGGAATGGGAGATAAAGGAAATCGTGTGTTAAATTTAGAGTGGAGTCAGACTTAATTAATGACGATTTTACTCGTTATTAGCATTCACAATTTTTTATAAAACCCATCTCTATCCTCAAAATTAAGTTTTTTGTCATTTTATAATAATTAATAATATAAAAGTTTTTAATTAAGTAAAATCTCATAACAGTTGGAGCCACCACAATTTTAACTTTTTTGCCGCAAAAGTTATCCGTTGCTGAAATTTATTTTTAATAATAAAAACAGTATTAGGCATTACAATAGAAAATTTATATATTTAATTAAGATTTTAATTTTAAAAAATATAATAAAAACTATTAAATTTTAAAGATTAATTCGTTAAAAAAAATACATATAATTTTTCGTAAACACATGCTGCCATCTGTTATCATAAATNACTTAATTTAATAATATAATAATATATTTTTTAAATAGTTTTAATAGTTAAAATTCAAACTCCTCTAGGCTCCGTTACGAAGACTATCAACAGAAAATTTTAGCTTTCTGGTAGAAATTTCATAAAAATTATCACACATAAATAAGTAAATTTACTTCATTATTGGAGTATACAGTACATAAATGAGATTATTTATGATTAACCCAACTTTTATCATCATATTCGAGTGTTTGTTAATTAGTAGAAAATTATGTATAATTTTAATTTATTTCCCGTTTTTTTTAACTTGTATCATAATTATGAATAATTTCATTGTTCAATTGTTCAATTCTTCTCCTATTATACGAATATTTTGATAATATCTTATCATTAATCTTCACTAAATCATATAACGTGATCGAATGGAGTGATGATAACATCATTGTAATTTATCACATATTAAACATTTCCTGACGAAAACAATTATAAAATTCTAAGAATTTTACCAATAAATATTCTTATATTATGTTTTGTTAACCAATTTAGCATTCTATAATTAACTTTTAACAAAATTTACAATGGCGTGTGTATAGCTTCGTGTTAACTGTTAGAGAAAGTAATTAACACGAATGCAGTTACTATAATATTAAATCGATAATATTTATATTTAACCTTTTACTATAAATATAATAATTCTGATTATTAAATAGAACATTTTAAAGCTTACTTTCGAAAAAATAAGATAAATATAACGTATCGCACATGATGGAGACGAGTACAAATGGATGCATATGATGGAATTGTAAGCATTTTTTTCACTAATAAAATAAAATATAATTAAAAATTAATTCAATAAAGTAATTTCAAAATGTAATCTTACATTAAACACATTAAAAAGTCATAAAACGTGCGAAGTTTAATTAAAATTTAAGCATTGAACTATCAAATCAGTTAATTTTTCGATAACAGATCGAGGTTTTTTATTGACATTTTTAAACCGGTTTCACTACGTTTGCATTATCTTTTAAATAAATAATGAAAATATCGATTATCAGGAAGAAACTTGGTTAGATTTTCATAAGGAAGTGGACTTCAAGATCTCGAAAATGACCTAGATCTTGTCAGTAATTTGACCCATATCACAGAGGTTGGTAAATTTTGCTCTATTTTTAAAAGACAATTTCCCCTCGAAGAATGCGTACATATGTAATTTACTTAAACGAAATTTCTTTTGAAAAAATAGTAAAAAAAAGTGATACTATTATTATCAAAATAAATTATTTTCTTGAGAGAATTTGCAGTGAGAAAAATACACGCATCCCTATAGAGAGAAGCATGTACTGTTGATGCTAACTATGACCTTAAGACAATTTATTTTAAGTTTTATTCATTGAATATCATAAATTTACCCTTCAATAAACTCTAAGCGATTTACTGGAAGGAAATGGTTTAGATTTACAAGTTCTCTACAAAAAAATAAAAGATTTATTTCTTTTATAGACAAAAAAATCTAATAAATGTTCCATTCTTATGCGTAGCTTCAAGCATAGAATGTTCCATAAGAACAATGCTGATAATTTACATATGTATAAGGATCCACTCTTGTGATTTATAAATTATGTTCTACGTTAAGGATAATGTTAAAGTGTGACCTGGATTTAACATTGTTTACTGTTATATAAAAGCTTCTTTACTTTAAAAAAAAATGAAAATTTATGCATTCTGGTGACACTTACAAATTAATTTTGCGTTTCGTCGATTGAATTTTACAACCGAAAACTTGAGTTTCGTGTAGAATTATAACCTGTTAATTCATAAAAAAAAAGAATATTTAATGAATATTTTTAACTAAGTTCAGTAGGAAATTATGTTAAAAGTGCAATCTTGTGAGTTCATATAGTGTGGTTGACCCTGTATAAGCCGAGTGATCTTTCAATAATCAGTGATACGAGCAGATAACAATAAATGGTTACTAAAAATTCTCGACTTGGCCTTATTAATAGAAAACTAGTTTTTTATTGTTAATTTTATAATAATTTTATTAATATCTAATTTTTTATTATTACATAAAATATAAATTTTTCCTTAGTTCGAGTGTTTCGGTAGTACAGTTTTAGACGTAAACTATTGACTTTTATATATAATTTAAAGCAGAAATTATACAAATATATAGATATAAGGCTTGTTTTCTTTAAAAATATGTGATTGTATCTTCAATGCGACCGCGAAATTGCAAATTACTCGTTACGTTTTAAACAGTTACCTCTTTAAGGAGGACAATGCGAGCAGAACATAAAAAAGACAATTTCCTAGTAGAATATTTAAGCTTCCACTTTATAAATCTTAAAATAATAACAGTGTATTAGAAGTAATTGTTCATTATTTATAAGTAGAATCACTCTAGCGTGTAGTTTATAATGCAAATTTCCAACCTGTCCCCAGGCAAAAAAGACGAATATATTGAATGAATATCAGTTTCTATGCTTGCCCCAAACAATTTTATTTATGTATTTTACATCATTTTCACTTAATTTAATAATATAATAATATATTTTTTAAATAGTTTTAATAGTTAAAATTCAAACTCCTCTAGGCTCCGTTACGAAGACTATCAANTATATTTTTTTATCTTATCGAAAATTACATGTTTAATATCAGGAAGCACCCAGACAATATCATATCTAGTGCAACGATTCAGTTACACCCTCAACCATCAGCAAGCGTAACGTGTGAACGTAACAAATCGTGATACTCGTTTCCTCATTCATCTGCACGTTTCTGTTGTAAAGATTGTCCTCTTTGATGATTTTTTATGTATTTTTATTTATTTATATATATATATAAAATGATGGATTATTCTTCTTGCTTACTATTGTTGAATGACAAAGCAAGGAATTGGTTGATATCTTCTTTCTGACAGGGATATATTTTGAAATATATTTAGCATTCGAACCAATAAAACAAATGAAACACACAGACAAATCAAATATTAAAAGAATTGTCCATAAAATCCTGAAAATTAATTATAACAGGATTCTTTTATCGGATGGTATCATGCAGGAAGAGTAAGATTTTTAGCTTAATTAATTTCTTAAGATTTTGGATGTTTTAAGCCTGAAATTGGGGCATTTCACTTATAAAATTTATAAAGGGCATTACACGTATGAGGCCCTAAGATTTAGTCTCGTAGCGTGAAGCCCTAAGTTGTAACTTGCAGAGATTACGTAAAAATCCGGCTGAAACCATCCGTTGTTCTTCACAAATATACAAACAAAAGACAACATGATGTTTATGCACAAAAGATCACAGGAATTGAAAGATAAACATGAAATGAAAGCATTTTTCACGAACAGAAACAAAGAAAATGAATTTTTATGCATGAAAAGTACAAAAAAAAATCTTTTCAACGTTACGCACGCAATTTTTAAAATATAACTTAAACGTTCTTACGTAATTTTTATGAATGCAAAAACATTCAAAATTCCAAGAATTAAACCATGAAAATGATAATTTTTCATGTAAAACTTTTTATACAGAAAGAACCATTGTTAAATATTAGAACAGATAATAGAAGAGACATGTGTAGCATATTTATAAGCATTTTTCTCAAATATATAAGCTCTTTTTACCATATTTTTGTGAAAAGCTCACAAAAAATATAATAAATTGATGATATGCCCATTTTAACATTAATCAGTTATGCACGTAGGCATAAATTAAAAACTGTAGATCGAGATCTCCTAAAATTCCTAATGATAATATCAAAAACTTAAAGAGGGTCACCAATTAACAAAAAAAGAAAATATTGTTTTAATAAATTATTAAAACAATAATTTAAACTAATTTTCATTAAAAGTTTAATAAGATTTTTATATTTTACAGTTACTTTTTTCTCTTCTACACCCTTCCAGATCTTTATATTTAACAATGATTCACACTGTAAACAAGAGAAAAAAGCAATTTCATACATGAAAAATCAAGATTTTCATGCAAATAAATGTATATAAAATTTTAAAATATTTAATATTTATTCAAGGAAATTAAATACAAACTTTCATGCATAATAAACAAACAACGAAACTGACACAACTGACAAAAAACACAATTGTATTTTATTAAAAATAAAAGAGACTAAACACATATTACGAACAATTATATAAACACTGAACATAAATTAAAATTTGGAATTATAATTACTTTGGTGTAAATATTAAACGCTCATCTGAATAATTTTTAATGTTAATTAACAGAGACAAAAATCGCGATAATCAAACACCCGTTAACTGCAATTGATTAATAGAATTAATATTATTTTAGTTTTTGATTTAAAAATCTATCAAAAACTAAAATACACCTTTACCTTTCTCACCGTTAATTACTGATGGAGTGAAGCATGCAATTGGGCATTGTATCTTCTGCACGGTTTGTGAGGTCTTCAAGTCTTTCTCAAAAACAAATGGCGATACTGACCGAATGTTATTGTTTGTACTCTAAAAATTTGAAGAAAAATATATTAAATAAATCAATTTTATAGAAAATAATATCATTAATGAGCTTACCTCACTAATTTGATCTTGAGACGTAACTTCTTTCAGTATCACAAATGGTAATTTGTTGGTTTCTTGCATTGAAGATGAGAAATCGGCATGAGGTTCATTTGGTTGGTTTTTTATGATAACTACTGGTACTCGAGCTTCAGTTTGATAATGTGGTTCCACCACTCGCTTGCCTTCTAGTTGATGATGATGGTGATTGATGGACGATTGAGGCTGAATATCAGGAAACTGTTCCACCATTACCATACTCCCATCCTGTGGATTTTCAGGATTTGAGAAATGGTAAACGTTGCTAGAATATTTATTATTCGAATCAGAAGGATGTTGAATTATATCTATTTCTGGTTGCTGTTTTCCGGAATTTTGTACTAGGTAAGGGATTGGAACCGGCCGATCCACTGCTACTTCCACTATCTCCGGAGTATTTTGAATCTCTGGATTATTCTGGATATAACTTAAGGGATTCTGAGGATTTTCCGATACATTTTGGGAGTATTCTACTCCTTTTTGAGAATTATCTGCAGGATTTTGAGGGAATTTAACATTATTTCCAGGATTTTCTGGGAGTTGTTGAGAAAATTGTATAATATTTTGGGATTTTCCCGGAGAATTTTGTGGATATTCTAAAATCACTTCCTGTTTTACCGGCTTGATTTTAACTTTTTTGAATTGAACTTGTGGTTCTGTCTGAATGTCCGATCCATATTTTTTCTTCTTCTTGGTTTTTTCTGATTTATCCGGAAACAAAACACTAATGATGTTCTTATCGTTCTCTTTCTTGATATTTTCACGAACTTTTATTGTTTGCCTCGTGGATTCAAAAAGACCATCTGAAGGCTTTACAATACGAGTTGATTCAGCCGGTCTGAGCACATCTTTAACTTTTATGGAATTTCGATTACTCGAAGATGGAGAAATAGCAACTAAATGCTCATTTGATACAGGTCCCACTCTATGGTGCAACGATATGGAGTGTGGAATGCCAGTTTTGACTATTTCCACATGAGCTGGATCCTGTTGTCCTAATCCAGGTTCGTTCGAACGAATTCTCGCTCGAAAACCTAAAGCATCAGCAATATACTCGACTTGACGATAAATACCGTAAGGATCGTGATATCCATAACTTCCCTGTACTACACCTCTATGGTCACCTTCTTCTTGTCTGAATTGTGTACCATGGCGTTGATCCTTGATAGTATAACCGAATCTGAATGCCTGCTTACGCTAAAAATTTAATTCAAACAGATAAAAAAAAACATTTAATATATTCTTTATCTTATTAAATTACTATGTAGAATAAAAAAATCTAGAATTTTAAAAAATTTCCGGTTAATCCACGCTTACAAACTTTGTCTTACATGTTAATCAATACATTGCATTGTATTGCTTAACGTGCAGTGTTTTCATCAATAAACATCTCTCTATTATGGTTTTTATTTTAGAACCTATTTATCTATTTATTTTTTTTAAAAAAAAGCTATTTAACCTGTTAAATTAGCTATTTATTTTATCACACATCATGCATATCAAAAGAAATATTTATAGAAAATCTAGAAAATTATGAAGGAAAAAACCGCACCCCAAACCTAGTTTTTCTAAACACAGTCTGTTTTTTATTAATTGTGCTATAAAAATATAACAACTTTTATATATATAAAGTATTTTATTTTAATAAAATCTATTCTCTACAGACATTTTAATTCTATCATGCGTAAAAACTATGCATAACAAATTAATATTCACTCCTGTCTATAGGATATTGAACTGTATTCATTTAGAAAATTAATTTATAGAAGGCTTTAACTCGTTATATAATGAATATAGTCTTCTAAATTTTAATTTAACTAACTTTTTTATTATATAAAATCGAACTATTTAGAAAATTTCACGATATAAACCCAGAGAAGAGTCCAGTTATGAGACACAAAGATTGAAGGATACGTGTTGCAAATCCTTATTAATAAATTAATAAATTATTTTAAAAGTATTGTGAAGATTTATAGATAGAAACTAAATAATATTAATATTTTTTATTACTAAAATTAATTTCTATCAAAANTTTTATAAGGTGTTTTCTTTTATAATTTTATAATTTTAGCAACTTTTGTTGTATTTATAATTTTATATAGTATTTTTCTCATTTATTCTAAATTTCAACCATCTTTCTTTTAATAAATAATGCTAAAAATAAAAATTTGAATACTCACAAATGGTACGTTTTCACCTGAGATTTGTCTCTTAGGTTTCGCTTCAATCTCTTTCGTTGAAGAGATTAATAAAACTAATATAAGCGAGAAAATTGCCTGAAAAAATAATAAAAATACAATTAAAATTCTACGCGAAATGACCACCAAACTCAATACTTTTCCGTATTTCACAAGCGACAAAGGAGAAGCATCCTTTGCATCTCGACACGAAAACACAATCCAAATCGTCCCAATTGAACCTCTTATATATAATAAAAATTATCTTTAGAATCGTATTAAATTTAAAATGGATAAACTTCCAAATGGTTAATTAAAATACTTACTTGGCCCATCTCTGTTATAAGAGATTAATGGGGATTCTGCAAAGACCAATGGATCACTAACATATCGCTTGGAGACTGGTCGTAAACTAAACTAAACTTAATGTATATGTTCGATATATACCGGTCTAGTTCATTTCTCCAGAAGCAATTGTGTAGCCTGCAGCCTATGAAACCTGTTTTCATTCAATAAAAAAAAAAAATATATATATGTATATATATTATCTTCTCTTCCCCTTGAATTGCTTAGAGGATGTACTTTCGTTTCTTACACGAAAACGTATTCTAATTTTTATTTTACTTTTTTTATTTTACTTTTCAAGATCAAATCTAAAATGGAATTCGACATACATCAATAATTTTTTTCCTTCAACCAGGCGAGTAATTACTTTTCTATGTGATTTACATATTAAAGCCACGGTGGACTTTCTACGAATTCGTATCGATTAAAGATAATTTTTTGAAAATAAATTAATAAGTGTCATTATCCGTTTTCACAATACGGATAATGACATTTATAATCTTATCACATTAAAAATGCTTAATTTTAAGTAGGTCTAAACCCCGGAGCATTAGGAGACGAATTTTTTGCGGTTCTCTCTTTCTCTAATTTTGTTAGGTAAGTGGCTTCCTGGCCCATATGTTGCTTTCAGCTTTTGCCTAAAGGGTGAACTTCAATTTCCTTGAGACTTTATTTTTTTCTTTTTAAAAGGAAATTCGATAATTTGACTCCAATCATCAATAATTTACAATATTTAAGTGCGCGTTATACACGGTTGCGCTTCTATAAAAGTTTTTAAATATATTTTAGTGATGTCTTCAGAGCTTTTTTAGTATTGAAAATGTTTAAAGTTTTAAAAAAAATAACTATAAAAGTCAGTTTATTGAGTACTTATTTCTGGAAAACATTTTTATGACGATTTAAAAACATATTAAAAATATTTTTTATTACATTATTAACTGTAGTGAAATCCATAAAATGGGATTAAAATTTTATTCTAGTGAATAATGATTTAATATACATAAACAATTTTTAAATTTAAAAAAAAAATTAATAAAACTGTCTTGGTTAATTAGATTATCTCATTCTACAGGTTCTTTGATCTTTGACTACATAAAAACATAAATCTGAAGTGTAAAATGTTTAATCTATAATTAAAATTTAATTATATCGATCAACAGATTGAAACCTCATCCATCTAACTTACAGCAAATTCAATTTAGTGGTAATTCTTTATTTTATTTTATATCAATCAATTAATATAGTTATATTTTTGCTGACTTGAAATTCAAGTCAGGTACTCTCTCTCTCTCCATAACAAGTTTCGTTAAAAAATACAATTTTTTAAAAGTAAAAGGTTTAAAATTATATTATTTACAATAATTTATCACTTTTATATGATGATAAGTTATTTTTAATGCTACATAAAAGCTTTTGTTAGGTGAAAAATTTTAAAATTTCAAGTTTCATTCTTAATTTTTCCATTCAGATATCATTACACCTTACCACAAAAGAGTTTAATGACAATACTTTCAAACTAAAAGTAAAAAAATAGAAGGAATTGAAGTGAGTTGTTCCTTTTTTTTTACCTTTTACTGTAATTATTTATTGACTGAGTTGATATCAAAACATTGACCTACAAATATCTAAGAAGTGGAGCACACCTTATTCCATCTGCTCTCTCTTAACTATGTCAATGTCATATATGGAATTCTTTAACAAACAAGTGATTATCCCAATATGTAAATTAGTATTAAATCAAAAAATTTTATAATAAACACATAATTCATGTGTAGAGTTGAAGCTCAAAGCTTATAGTTTTTGCCAGAAAATATATACAGTATATTTATATACATTGAACTTATATACAAGCACAAGTTGATACAGGAATTAGATAATCATAAGATATGACTATTAAACCTGTCTGGTTTTGATTAAATTATTAAATTTATAGATTTTTTCACAAAATTAATAGAAGTACTAAAGTAAGTTTTTATAAATTTAAAATTGCAAGTTTTTATAAGGTGTTTTCTTTTATAATTTTATAATTTATCATTTCATTTAATAGAATAAAAGATTTGTTTAGTATATTTAACAAAAAAAAAATATATTGTTTTATGTTATAAAGAAGAAAATTATTTAAACTTAATGTATTTTTTAAATTTTTGTAGTAGTTTAACATTTCTTTGTTACTTTAATTCAACAATAGGTTATAGTTTTTATAATTAACTTGTTCAAAGCAAATCTGTGCTTAATAAACTGTGCTTGTAACAGGAGAACTTTTTTAGAAATTTCAATTATGGAAGAAATTTTTGATTGTTAAAAAATATTCAAAGGATTTAACAGAATTTTTTAAATCATAAACAAGTTTCAACTATTGAGATTTAAAATAAAGCAAAGTAATAAAACATTTTTTTATAAGTTTAAACATGTTACTAGTGGCTGTTTTGGGCATTGAACTAACCTTCTTCCTAGGGCTTTGTGCTTTTAAAGGCCTCAGACACACAAATATCTGCTTCTTGATATTGTTGATACTGGTTGACTCTTTCTTATATATTCAGGGCCTCTTGTAGGTCAAGCCCAGACCACATATCAGTTTGAGGCCCTCAGTATATTAAAGAACACAGCAGTATTAAAAATTAAAATACATTTATTTTGTTTACATATTTTAAATAATATTTGATTTTATAATTGATTTTTTAAATAATAAAATTTAAGAAAAGGTGTTTTCTTAGTACAAAAAAATTTTTAATAAATGTTTTTGTAGCTAAATGATGTAAATACGAGGCTTGAGCACATGGGGTTAATAAAATGGGTATCATGCTGGTCATACTGTGATAAGGCCAGTGATACTAGTCCACTATTTGGTATGTGATATTAACTAGGATCCTAGACTTTGCAATATCAAATATTATGTGATGCAGGCTTTCCCCTATATAAAATTATATTAAAAAGGGATTTGGCAAGTTCATATTTGTTTAAGACTTCTCATAAGGCTTTTATTTATGTAATTTGTGTATTTTTAAACGTATTTTTTAAAGAAATAAGTCAATCAAATTCAAGCAAATTTGAAAAAACTATGTTTAAATTTTCTTTATATTGTTATTTGACATAAATAGCACCATTGATGCTATTTGTACCATTTATAACAAACTTTTTTTTTAATTTGTTACAATCAGATTGTTAAAAACTTAAAGAAAAAAACAACATAAATAACTTTGGCCTTTCTATTTATGTCATACTTGATATAAATTTTATGCAAAATTTGTCTAAAAACTAAATCAATTTTTTTTTGTATTTAAATCCTGATTATTTTTAATACATTTAATTCTTAAAATATCCTTGTAGATATGGTGAAAAAAATTAGACAAGGTTACCCTCAATTCTTTAATAAAATGAAAATCTAATTAATTCTTACAGAAAAAAATGATTAATTTCTGTATCTAAATCACTTCAAAATTCATTTATTAAATTATAATTTAATGTCCTTTTTTTATTAATTAATTAATCAAGTTTGTTACCTTTTTTTAAGCTCAGAAAATCCAGAAAATAATAGAGATAAAAAAAATTTGTCCTAATTTTATTCTGTTTCATTATAGGTGAGATGGGAATCTTTCTAGTTCCAGTATATTAACTCCTCTTTCTTAAATATTCAGCATAAAGGAAGAGTAGACAGCACAATGTATAACCACACCTCCCATCTTAGGTCAATATTCTTGTCATGTAACATGTCATTGACATGGCTTCAATGTTGAAGGATCAAAATTAGAGAATTGAGTTTTCTTAAAAGTGAATTTAGACTAAAATTAAATCATTTTATAATATTAAATTATGTAATTTTAATAATTTTATGTAACATTTTTTCTAAATTTAGCTAAAATTTCTAATTTTTAGCATAGTTTTACTTGATATTATGTATAAAAACAACATTAACATGTAAAGATCCTATTTATATTTTTTACTTTTTCAAGTTGAAATTTAATATTTATATATAGTAAATCTAGTAATTTGTTTTTAAGAATTGTTCAATAGAGAAAAGGTGTTAAGAGAACTAGGACATAAGAAAAACTGCCCAAATATCTTGATAAATACTAAGATAGGATAAATTTCTGAAGTTTCACAGTTGATTTACTGTTGACATTAATATTGTAAAACGATTAGATTACTCAGTTTAAAATAAAATAAAAAAAAATAGTAATTGATGCCAATGCATTATCATTGTCACAACAACACTCTCATATCTCATTGTTTGCATGTTTAACTGCTATAGGAGTGTTTTTATTGATTCATATGACGTTACATGTCATAAAACTCTCTTAATGCCGAGAAATGTGTTAAAGATCGTGCGTTGAGAGATTATTCTGAAAATCGCGCGATCAATCGCGACGTTATCTTTAAAAATCGCGCGATGAGAGGCAACGATTTAAACAATCGTGCACTTCCGTATATAAATTCTTAATGTAATTTAACAAAAGTTCCTGATAAAAAGATATTAAATAATTAAATATGACATGTTTATGTAGTTTATAAGAATTAGAATATTTGCACACCCTTGATATTTACATAACCCACATTACGTTTACTTAAAACTTCATTTAAAAAAAAAGATTTTTTTATCAGAAATACAGTTTATATTTTTGTTTTCAATAATAACAGAATATTTATTTAAAATTTCTATCACTATTTTTAAGTTTTTATTTAAATTATATAAAGATAAATAAGCTTAGTGGTATTTAATTCATAACTGAGACCTATATAATGTAGAATTATTTAAATAATATGCAAAATATTCTAGAACAATATACAAAAAGATTGAGAGCTTTAAATGTTCACACAAATATGTATGAGAGCATTAATCACGTTTATGCGCCCTTAGAATTTATAGATTTAAAACTATTCTAATGACTTGACAAAAATAGGTTTATGTATTGATAAATTATTTATATAAAATTAAATTTTTGTCTTTAAAAATCTTAAAATGTTTTTAATGTTTATTATATTTTAAATATTA